TGTGCGTTTGCTAGGGTGTTGTAGATGGTTGCCAGGGTATTTATACGCAGCTGTTAGGGTGATTGGCAGGAAAGGGTGGTTGGTGGTTGCCAGGGTGTTGTGGGTGGTTGCCATGGCATTGCTATGCAGTTTCTAAGGTGTTGCAGATAGTTGCCAGGGTGTTACTATGTGGTTGCTAGGGTGTTGTGGGTGGTCGCCAGGGCATTTATATCATGTTGCTAGGGTATTTTGTTTGGAAACAAACCTGATTAAGACATTTCCAGTGTAAGGGAGTAATTGCAGACAGAAAGTATATTTATACCACTGTGTTCTTACTCTTTTAAGGGTGTTGCCACAGCAAAGATATTGTGGTTTTTGAATATGTGACCTTGGACCACAAAACCAGTCATAAGGGTCAATTTCGAATAATAAGCTATGAATAAATAAGCTTTCCATTGATGCATGGTTTGTTAGGATAGTACTATATTTGGCCGAGATACAACTATTTGAAAATCTGGAATCTGAGGGTGAAAAAAAATCAAAATATTGAGAAAATCGCCTTTAAAGTTGTCCAAATTAATTTCTTAGCAATGCATATTACTAATAAAAAATTTAGTTTTAATATATTTACAGTAGGAAATTCACAAAATATCTCCATGGAACATGATCTTTACTTAATATCCTAATGATTTTATAGTTGCAGTTCTCTTTTACACAGACAAAAGCATTTTAAAAGCCGTGTCAATTTCAAGAGTCACAAGCCATTTAAATTCCTGAAACTAATGCGAGTACAATTTTATGCAGTGTGATCTCATGCTTGCCCGTCGATATTCATTCATAGGATGTTTGGATAGACAATAAAACATACAATGTTAACATACTGACAAAATCTAAAACAAAAAACTTTTAGACTGGTCAGAACTGATAATGCTGGACCGCCACAGATGACCAAAATCAATACACAACCCCATAGAGGGACTTCAATTTAATAATGGAAGAAAATGACCATTCGGGCCGTTCGCCGCGGGGCCCGGGGCGACCACACCAGTTGCACCCCCCTAAGGACAGCCCTGGTTACAATAGATATTTGTTGTAACATTATACTATATACTATACTATATTTTCCTATAAGATGTGTGTGTGTGCCACTAAAACAGTGTTGCACAATTGTGAAGGGTAAAAAGAAGATATCAAATGAAAACATCATCTACTTTGAGTAACTGGGACAAAGCATCTTTGAACATTTAAATCATTTAATGTTTCAAAGCAAATACAGTTTACTTCACTGGGTCAACACATGTGAACAATATATATATATATTTTTCATATCATTACCGACCTCAGCAGACATACATTCACACGGCTGCATGAAGACAAGATCTTTCTTTATGTTTTGTTGCAGTTATGTACAAAGTCATTGTAATGCATCAGCCCCGCATCTCTATACAGAACCCATTAAAATATCAAAACTTATCTACCCAAGTCCATGTCAAAGTAGATTTATGGCAATAAGCTATACATCTCCAGTCGTCTGAGCTGTCTGATTTGTGTTCTAGTTAATTTTGCAGTCAACGTCCAGACTTGAAACTCCTCCATTTCTGTTCCCCTAACATACAGTAAACCCAACTATAGTTTCCAAGGTACATACATTATTTACAGTGGAATGTCAGGCTTTGAAGTGGGCAGTTAGAAAGACATGAGACTCTCGAATGAAAAACTGAAAGAACTTTAAATCTAAAAACCAAGGAACGTATGAAAGAAGGAATAAAAAGCAATATTTTGTCTGTTCAACAATATGCAAATCAAAAAGAAAGTAAAAAAAAATATATTATTTTCTTAGTATGCCTATGCACTTGTGCATGCTATTTAATGTTGCTAGAAGCATCAACATCAACTGATCCAGCAGACAGACTGCTGTATGTAAAAAAACTAAACAAACAAACAAAAAAAAAAAACAGGCTGATATGGGTCATGAAAATGTATTATAGTCAATCAAAATCTCTTATTTGACATTTAAAGCCTTAATAGCATTTGGTAAATGGGTAACTTGTGCTTGGCTTGAGAAAACATACAAAAAATAACCCTTAATTAAAAAAACCCTGGGAGCACAGGGGTCTGTGAAAAGAATAAAAGAAAGAGCAAGCGATACAGAAATAACTACATATATAATTAACTACTAATTAAACTTCTGGAACAAAAACTTGTGCTTTAGCTAAAGTGATGTCAGTCTCTTTAATCACAACCATGATTAAGTAGCAGGTATCCAGTTGTAATCTGGTTAACAAAGTGCTGACGGAGCAGAGAGAGAATATTTTTATTCACGAGGGTTTCAAAAACTTGGTAAAAACACAGCTTCTATAATACTTAAAGTCCAGGTGATGCACGTTCCACCACACTGGCCAACTTGTGTAGATTCATGCGAATGTTGTAAAAATGTACAGTGAGGGCAGACAAGGCACAATAACTCAAAAAAAAAAAGAAAATGAAAAGAAGATATGTACAATATGCAGATCTAAAAAAAAAAAAAAAAAAAAAAAAAAAAAAAAAAAAAAAAAAAAACACAGGGGATGTGTATGATGACCAAGGAAACAAAGGGTAGTTACCCAATGCGTTTCCTAATCTGAACACCCCCTAATAAATTAATACAAAAACTGCAAGAACTCAAAAAAATTATAAAAAAAAAAAAAAAAAAAAAAAAAAAAAAAAATTTAAAAAATAAAAAAAAAAAAAAAAAAAAAAAAAAAAAAGAGTAAAACCTTACATCTCACACTTCATAGGCACTGCAATTTGTATAATATTGCACATTGCTAAGCTAAAATACAAGGTTTGTTAAGCAACAAATGTACAGTTATTCATCATGTGGTCTGCTTTAGGTCAAATCAAGGTGTGCATGAGGTCTACCATCAAGGTTTTTATTCATATGTAGCTTAGCTGTAAGTGTATTACGACTTTCCCTATGAGACAGACCACAAGGAATCTGAAGCTGCACGTTCTAGTTTGTTTATTATGTGGGTTCTTTTAATAATGGCTTCATCTACCAATTGGAGTGTGGAACTCTCAGCTTTAATGCATGTTATCATTTTTAATTTATCGATTTTCCCCTCAGCGAAAATGCACAAAAGCCACCAGATTCCACGACGGAGTGAGCAACCTACAGTAAGTGGCGCTCATCTGGAGTTTCCCCATGTTTTCAGGTCCTCCTAGATTGTCCATGTGATTACAGGGGTTCAGTATCCTAATCGCTCGTCTTGTAAAGAGCTCTGTTTAAGGCAGGCAAGGGAATTAAATATTTCATGGACAAGCCATGATAAATTCTACGCAGGGAGGTTATTTGTATCTGGAAGTAAAATCATTTAGTGGAAAACTGCCCACCCATTCACAAACACCAAACACTGATGTAAAAAGTGCGAGAAAAGCTGAACCAAACAAGGAGCGATTAAAAAAGAAACACATGCATTAAAAACGGCCTGAATGCTTGTACATTTTGCAGCTGAACAGGTATGTCAGGATTTTGATGAATATCCATTTTGTTTATTTAAATGCATACTAATTTGTAGCCAACAAAGCTGCTCTTTATAGAGGATCAGGAAGGATTTGGAAAGGAATCCTGGCTTTGCGGCAGATCCTGTGGTTTCAGAGATCCAGCAGTACATAACAAGCCTGTCTGTGATGCCCAGTTGCTGCCATGTTTACCTCTGATTTCACTTTGGCTCGAGACTTTTCCGTAATTTCATTCCCGTGACCCATTCTTTTACCGCTACCTTTTTTTGGAAAAACTACTTCCATCAAAAGGCTCTAAATGCTGGTTGACACAAGTGATACACACCTGTGGTTTAATCTCCTGTGGAACTAAACATTACCGTTGAACTGGTTCATATTTACAAGATCTTGAAAACATTTTGACCACTCCACATCACCAACTCTAAATACCCTGTCTTTATAACAACACCACATTATACAGGATTATCCTTTTGCGTCTTAAGAGTTTCAGAGGAAATTGATTTTTGGAAAGCATTGTTATGAAAACACTACACATGATGGCACATCCGAGGTGGATCTATGGATGGAGACTGGCTGAGACTGGCATGGAGAGTGGTGGGTGGGTGTACAGTGTATATGTCTAGGCACTGTTCTGCATGCTCGACTGCAGTGTGCATATGACTAACGCTGCAGATGTGTCCCTCAGCTCTCAGCAGAGCTAGGTCTTAAAATAAATACTGTTTTTGGAGAGCAGTCAGAACCCACATGCTTTTTTCTTCCATTGGATTGTATGCTTCAAGGCTATGCCACATTTTCGGACCCCTGGATCTACATTCTGGGTCCTTTAGGATGTTGGGAGCGGTGTTTGTACCAAGAACCACAGGATTGTGATGTTTTCATTAAACACAATAGTCTTAATGCAACTTTGACCTCATAACGACACATGTATAAGCAGGAATAATGATTCTACTATTTAGTTCCACATTTTCTTCTAACCAACACTCCATATAAAAAACAAGACTATATAAAACAGACAAAACTATGATTAATGTAAAAGTAATGGTAATATGCTAATGAGATAAAAAAACAAGACAAACAATAAAAAAATAATCATACATCCAGTGTAAGACTTTCACAACATGATCAGCAATATACCCCTTTCCAAAACACTCACAGTCTCTTTTTATACATTTAATACATTTATAATAACAACAAAATGAGACAAAAATGATAATACACTGTAATATTTGCAAGCTACCTGCCTGTCCAACCTTACTGGATGTTGATTGGCATCAGTCACTGAGAAAACCTATTGCTGTTGTAGCAGGTTCATCTAAAAGCATGTCGATGTGTAATGATGTTGACATGTTGGTGCTTTATCCACAGCTGTTCATTTCGATGGACTCTGATGGGGGCGGAGGTTACTGGGTCAGGGGTGGGATGTGCAGATAAGGATAAACACATGGTGGGAGGGTTCTAGTGATGGAGGTGAATGGGTGTGGTCAGATGAAGGAGAGGGCAAAAGGTTGTTGATCTTTTATCCTTGACGTTGCATGCCACTCTACACATACCACTCTTTCTTTGAAATAACAGAGCCGTCGGTTTGGGAGACCATGTCGTCGGTGATCTCGGGCTCTGGGTCGTACTGGAAGGCAAGGGTCCGTTCATCGTAATCGCGACTTTCGCCTTCGTCTACAGTGAAATAGGGTCTCTTCAGATCCTCAGAGTTGCCGTCGAAATCCCGATCGCCACCCTCGAAACCGCCAGGCCCGCTAATTTGAGCCGGTTTCTTTTCATCGTCCGAGTCGTCGGGGTACTGCATGTTCTTAGGCATCGGAGGATGGGCAGGCATGCCACCGGCCTTGCTGTATCCATTCCCGAACACATGTTTTTTTGTGCTGTAGTCGCCCTTAAAGGTGCGCTGACGACGCCGCAGGAAGAAGACAAGCAGCGCGATGGCGGCCACCAGCAGGGCCACTCCACCGACCGCACCACCGATGGCAGCGCCGGAACTATGCATCTCCTGTGGGATCTCACGGCCATCAAAAGGCGAGGAGTTAGGGAATTCTGGGTAGGAAAACACAGATGGAAGGGGAGAGTGTGTCAGTGCTCTGGTGGGAAGGAGGTGCATTTGTGAAGGTGCTCATTTTTTGATGAGGAAAGGAACATAGGGGAGGAGAAACAAAAGGGAAGAAAGGAAGGAGCCCCCGCCCCATACCCACAACCACCCACCCACTTCCTCCCACAAAACCAATCCATTACGACGGCTTCATATAGAAAAGCAAGAGCTGAATGTTTAGTCACAGCATGCATTTTATGGAACATAAGAACAAGCAGTCAAACCATTTTGTATGCAAACAGAAATAACAAAAGTCTTGAAATTTAGGGTTCCTGTACACTAGAGCAGGGGCATAATGTTTATATTTAGTGTGCACTGGGACCAGTTTCTAATACCCACCTAACATGTTGTTTTCTGCACATTGGTTGCATCACATTGCATTGGTTTTGGGTGCAAAAGTTAGAAAAGGACATAATTTTAACCGTGGAAGCTATCAATTCAAAGATTCAATTGGATTAACCAAATCTACATAATATTACAATCCATTCTCACTCCTAAAGGCACCAAAAACTGAAGCAGGGTCAAGCACTTCACTATTATGACTATAAAGTTATCCCTAGGGCAGGGGTCTCCAACCCTGCTCCTGCAGATTTCAGCTCCAACCCCAATCAAACACACCTGAACCAGCTAAACAAGGTATTCAGGGTTACTTGATAATTACAGGAAGGTGTGTTGGAGCAGGGTTGGAACTGGAGTCTGCAGGACAGTAACTCTCCAGGAGCAGGGTTGGAGATCCCTGCCCTAGGCATCACTATATCGATGAACTTGGAACTCCATTGCTTTCAATTGCTTGCCTTATAGATTAAGATGGATTTAACATACATGAGATTAAGACAGATTCAACATATATCATAAAGACCAAATTATACCACAATATATAATTAAATGACAAGAAATTATTGAGTATAGGGTTTCTCAATGGACTTCCTAGTTCAATATAGCAACCGAGGTATACCTTTAGGCCTGGTTTCACAGACAGGGTTTAGGTTAAGCCAGGATTATGCCATAGTCCAATTAGGACATTTAAGAATCTTTTGTAAACGTGCCTTTACGCAATGACATTACTGGCGTGCATCTTGAGACAAAGCAATGGCACTGACATATTTTAAGATCAGTCAGGGCAAGTTTCTTTCAGTTAAAACTGGCCAGACATGCATTTTAGTCTGGGACTAGACTTAAAGGGTTAGTTCACCCAAAAATGAAAATTAGCCCATAACTTACTCACCCTCAAGTCATCCTAGGTGTATATGACTTTCTTCTTTCAGATGGATCCAGTCGGAGTTATATTAAAAATTGTCTTTGATATTTCAAGCTGTTTCATGGCACTTCACGGGTGTCGCATGCATCCGTCCAAAAGCACTTAATTAAAATGCGCCCATCCAAAAAAAAAAAATGTCTCACATGGCTCCGGGGGGTGAACAAAGGCCTTCTGTAGCGAATCGATGCGTTTTGTAAGAAAAATATCCATATTCAAAACGTAATAATCACTTTAATGTAAATAATCATCCGCCCGGAACTGCTTCCAATGTACAACAGTGAGCGCAAGTAATTTTGTAATATTTTTCTTACAAAAATGCATCGATTCGCAACAGAAGGCCTTTATTCACCCCCCCGGAGCCGTGTGAGACACTATTCTTATGGATGGGCGCATTTTAATTAAGTGCTTTTGGATGGATGCATGCAACACCCGCTGAGTGCCATGAAACAGCTTGGCACTATTAAACAATTTTTAATATAACTCCGACTGGATTCGTCTGAAAGAAGAAAGTCATATACACCTAGGATGACTTGAGGGTGAGTAAGTTATGGGCTAATTTTCATTTTTGGGTGAACTAACCCTTTAAGTCTAGTCCCAGACTAAAATGCATGTCTGGCCAGTTTTAACTGAAAGAAACTTGCCCTGACTGATCTTAAAATATGTCAGTGCCATTGCTTTGTCTCAAGATGCACGCCAGTAATGTCATTGCGTAAAGGCACGTTTACAAAAGATTCTTAAATGTCCTAATTGGACTATGGCATAATCCTGGCTTAACCTAAACCCTGTCTGTGAAACCAGGCCTAAAGGTATACCTCGGTTGCTATATTGAACTAGGAAGTCCATTGAGAAACCCTATACTCAATAATTTCTTGTCATTTAATTATATATTGTGGTATAATTTGGTCTTTATGATATATGTCTAGACCTTATATGGAATACATTTTTTAAAGCACACACTTTTATTCTCTTAAACCATTTATAAAATACATGTCTTTCTTTCTTTCTTTTGAATTAAAAAACAGATAAAGCTGCAGGTGAAAGTCAAACTGAGCACTGCTGCTTTCAAAAGTTCATAGAGGCTTTCAGATGAGTGATGTGGTTTTTACAATCATGCTGGAACATGAATCCCCTGCAAGTCTACTGTACATGGTTACAGCTGACACACTGCTTGTGGTTTTGTTTTCAAAGCACACAAAAGACAGGCATCCAACAGAAAACAAGCGACAGCATGTAATAAGCCCATGCAAAAAGTCAGTAAACCATTTCTTAAAAGCACCCCCATCATTGAGATTTGCAAACAGCAATTAGAGTTAAAGAAGTATATTCACACACGCTCGCACACACACACACAGAGATGCAAGACATGCAACTTTTTTCAGCATTGGATCATTCACAATTGCTGGATTAACAGCTTGCATGCGGTTTCTAAAGACTTCTCTTTGTGAGGCGCTCCTTGTAAACATAACCAAACTGCTCCAAGCACTACAACAGGTCAGTGCAAACATCTACCAACATTCAAATATAAAACATAACCAAGGGATTCAAAAACACTTAACTCTAAATTAGGTACAATGCGACAGAGCAACAAACTGTGTCTTACAATACATTTTATTGGTTGTCACATTCAAAATCCCACCCCAAATCAGAATGTTTGATTGGCTCTGACTGTCACAATGTATGAAACAAAGACATCCAACAATGTCTTGTAGGAGCACCTCCAAACAGTCTAGAAATGTGTCCTTCACACGTTGTGTTAACACAACAGTTGTGCGTAGTTAGCAGCACAATACAGCTTGTGACAACAACGAAACCGTAGACGCTAGACACCCTGCATTATATTTCCAGTCTGAAGTCTATGCCATTTACATGTGCTAATAGAATATGCCGGTTAAAAAGGTCAGTGGCTGCATTGTGAAGGTTTCTGACTGCCTTATGCGACAGTGACTAATCGAATATAGGCAGTAATAAGGCGGTCAGGGTGAGCTGCATTTGACATATTCCAGCTACTTAATGAGCTTCCATTCTAGACCTGGCAGAGCACCGTCTGGTATCCACCACACACGTGGTGATGGTCAGATATTTCTCATTGACACACTCAGACAGCTTGTAAAGGATTACGGTCATAAAAGGCAAAAACCTCAAGGGGTTCAAGCCATCTTGTCCTTTAATCTAAGAATATAAAGTTAAATGCTAATAGGGAAGCGAAAAGGCAAAGCATACTTTCAGAGGATACACAAAGTGCACAAATAAAAACATTTCTAGCTACACAAGCTCACATTCACATATTGTTACGTTTTGTGCAATTCATAACACAATGCTAGAACCATTATACTCTGTAAAAAACTTTTCAAAGGTTGCAAATAAAACAAATATGTTTGGAGTACATTTTATAGGAAAATGCTTTTTTAGTTTTTCTACTTAAATATTTTTATTTTTAATTTAATGAGTTACTTGCCATGATTGTGCAATTATATGCAAAATGTACTAACAGTTTCTGAGAGAAAATTGTTTCTACACCAACGATGCTGCTGCAAATGGTACTATAGCGAGTCTTAGCATAAATATTCTGCTTCTATGGTCAGTTTTCTAGTGAACTACTGTCATGATAGGAACAGTTTGAAGAGAGCCCTGCTAAGAAAGTTGATTCAAGTAAGTAAACTTGTGAAATGTTTATAGCTAACAGTATAACAACACATTAGTTTAAAGACACGTTATTTTAAGCTAAATCTATCGCCCCCTAGAGTGTGGAGGATAGTTACCACCACAGTACTTCTGCCCAAACATGAACTAAACATTTTGCCACTTTTGTAATTTGCTGTTATGATAGTAAAAAAATAAAATAAATGACAAATAGATGGCAGATAGATGATAGATAGATAGATGATAGATAGATAGATGATAGAT